AAATTTATTTTATGAAAATAAATTAACAAATAAGTGAAAAAATTAATCTAAGATAAAAAATAAATGGCGTTCTCTTTTATTAAAGGATCAATTTATGTAATATTTTATATTATAAGTGTTCAAAGAAATAAAAATAATAAAATTTCAAAATTTTAAAAAGTTGAAAAAAATTTGAATTCCAAAATTTTTAAAAAATTAATACTTTCTGAGTTTTCGAAATTTGATTTCATTGGAATGTTTTTTGTTAAATTCTTTTAATTTCTCTAATTTTTATATTATTTTGTAAGTTAATTTCTTACAAAAAGTAATTTACCTTACAAAGGGACTGCGGTCGCGAAAGTAACTGAGATAAGTTTCGTCCCGATACATATATCGCAGATCGTTTTTGCATCCGACCAATAGGACCGGTGTCTGCGGGCAGAACCTCCTTATCTCGGGATACCACATCACCTTGCAGTTTCGCAAGGAAACGGGGTTGGTTATGGAGAAACATAGTAACACGACGTCAGACCTAGTAAAATCTTTTCAATTAATATCAATCGTGTAAATATTTCATTCGGCGATAATCTTACCTGCCGTATGCGAAACGTCGATCCTTCTCGTGATCGCCAAATGTGTCCCAGAGACGTAGCGACACGTTTACATTGTCTACTATCTCCCAAGATCGCTCCAATACCTGACACGTATCAAACTATGTTATTTAATACTACATATTTTTAGGAAAATTAATAATAATAGTAATAGCATTTAACTTGATAATAATGAGCATGCTTTTGTCTTAACGAAAATCTGAACAGAAAGAATTAAATTCATTTCTGAATTTTCTTTCGTTGTTCACTTCATAATTATGATCTCATTTAACATTAAATTTTAAATTTATACAGCCAATTAATTTTATAATTTATACTTCCAATTACTGATTATTATACATGGAATAGATTTATTTAGATTTCTTAAAATTTAGCTGTACATTTAAAAATAATAGGACACTCAAACTAGTTGCCAAAATGTCAAGACTTTCTGCTACATTACTCATTCTACATAATTATTTTTACTAACAAAATTATTTTTAAATCTGTATCTATATAGATATAGCTAAATTTTTAGATACCTCAACTAAGCCATTTTTTCCATGCACATATTGTGATTTAATTTCAATCAATAATTGCATCAAATGTGTTTTCAAGTGAAAAGGAACACAGGAAGAAATCAGATATAGGCAGACTTACATCCTTGTAGATCCGATATTGGTCAATAGCCCAGACCGTGGGCACGTGAGTAGTCAAGAGTTGTGACAGTGACACGTGCTTATTGCAGGCTCTGGCGCAGATCAGTCTGGTCTTTCCGACTGCCGTGTCACCCACGACCACGCACTTGACCAGTTCCTGGTGCGGTTGCTCATTGTCCATCACCGGCAGTCTCCCCTGCTCATATAATATGCCCTCTCACCTGCCAGATCGCTTGAGTTCTCGATCGCTGTCTCCGTCACAGATGATGCTACCGTTGTCGTTTCCGTAGCCGCCAAATGCGTGCACCACATTCGATAACCGGGCCGAAACACGACGTCCTCGACTTTGCCGTTGATAAGATAAGCGCTAAAACTAAGTACATGGAAACGATCCATCAGCTCTTATATAAAAAGAATGGTTTTGTTGAAATATCTAAAAATTTAACTAAATACATTCGCGTCGTCGCGCACTCCTTTACAAAAATTTAATACTGTCAATTTATTACTGAAAGATAGTAAGTAATTATTTATTTCAAGTATTAAAAACACTATTGTGCAATACTTTTAGTACTCCATAAATATAGTAACTAATTAACTAAAAGAAACTAATTACTTTATAGAAACCGCAAATAAGATCAGCGCGGATATTAGTGCGCGAATTAAATTTTATTACAACTACAGAATCACTGTTATAATTTCGCACGCAAAAGTAATTTTCTAGTTGTAATAAAATTGAACTTGCACACAAATATCCGCGCTAACTCTCATTGACGATTTTTATTTCATTTTTATCAGATTTAATCTTAGAGCTGTTATATATTTTATTTTTAGTTATCTAATTTATTTATTAATTAATGTCTTTCAATAATAAATTGACTTATATCAAATTGATCAGTATTAGATTTCTGTAAGAGAGTGTTCGATGAACGCGATATCCACTTTACACCTTTTTTCCACTCTTGAGAGTACGTGATTCTCGATAATGTCTCAATATCTTATAATGTATCTAGAACCATACTCGCTCTTCGAAAGCGAAGTCACAATAAAGCTTTTAAGTGGACACTTAGCCTTAGTGCAAGGACACGTAGATGTTATATCGTTTCGATAGTTGTTCGTTGCATAATGTCGTGGCTTTAAGTATATAAATATGCACACATTAAATAATCTGTTGCCTTTCATATGTGAATTATTTAACGATTTATAGCTACCTCGGTACAGGGTCTATTCAATTTTTGACGCCAAGTATGAACTGTTTACATACATAGTAAATTACAATTATGAATAAAATTTAATTAATTACCTACATAAAAAATAATCATAAATGTATGTCTTAATATTCGATTAATCGGAGCATATAACTCCGTGTGACCGAGGACATCTCCTCAAACTTGACATCTTCGACGTCTTGGATACAATCGAAGATGCGGAAAATGGAGAGGGAAATCATATTCGTGCCGAAAATAATCTACGACTGAATGTCATAATTTATCACATCAAACTAAAACGATAATTTGACAAATTGCGAAGATGGCATGATTGCACATAGTATTCGCAAAAAACATAATCGTGTTAAACGTATTACTAGGTGTATATTAGGCACGTCGAAAGGAGATAAGAATCTGAAATGTTCAGTCTCCAAATATGTGCACTCATGTCCATTGCATATATGTGTGAGCGTGATTTGAAAAAGATTTTCTTCTATATTTAGAACCGAAGCTTCGAGATCTCAACCTTGATTTCCATCGCCTTAACCCTGAACGAGTGTGTGTGTATATATATATATATATA